GATTATGAAAAATAAATGTTAATGAATAAATTGTAAAATTTTACCGACCGTGGAAAAAGTGATATTGAGATCGCTCGTTTGATGTTCATACGTCCATTAATTTAGAGCATTAAAGATGCGCGCGCAGCTTTTGAAGCGTCCCTGAAAAACAGTTACGAGCGAGGCTAGATAATTCGAATAGAAGATTCGGCCGACCATAAACGCCAACCATAAAGAATCCTTCTCCTTTCGGTTGTCCAGTAAATAATGTACTTAGTAGCACGAAAGGGCGCATCCACGAGTATTCCCTCGGGCGCGTTGCGCATGCGCGACCGAATGAGCGCGTCGCCGTGGTCGGGACTCTTTGATATTCAGATTTAACCGGACATAAATAAAATTATCGCCCGTACAACCACTACCGAGTGTTCCAAAGTGCTTTTTCAGTACAGCCATAAGACTTTCCGACAATCTCTATACTCCCCCCTGCCTTTTTTCATTTCGTCCAAGTGAAAGTTCGCTGCGGTGCGCATGCGCCGGTGCAACAAACAGAGATCTTAATAATTGGCCAAATCTCACAAAGAGAAAGAAACACGCGCATGTCCCTGCTGTTAGGCACTGTGTGCTTTTTGATGAATAACTACAGGAGCGTAATAACTATCCGTGTCTCCTGTGTGACTCCGCCTATCCAGTTTGCCTTGTAACGCTCCGCGAGCTGTACACGTTGCTTCAAAAGTCGACGAATCCCAAAAAAAGTAGTATCTCAGAAAAAAAATTAATTTCAAAATTATACAAAAATCTAAATCCAAATTCTTGTCAGACACAAAAATCAACATCACGAAATCATCCTTGTCAGTATTACCGTAGAAATTTTTTATCACCAACGAGGAAGATTGTATTTTGAAAAAAAGATATATGCGCGAGTATTAATCGAACATTTTAGCACGGGTTGTACCAGCCTGACATCTCGCGGCTATTACGTTGACTCGTGGCGGCAGGTGCAACATCGCTCACTGTCCACCAGCTATATATTCAAATACTGCATTGCATAGTCCTAGTCTTTCGTCTTTCTTACGTACAAGAGAATACCAAGCACTGCCTGCCATCTGTGTCTTAGAACGATAATAATAATGATGACTCTGACGAGCTTAGTGGTGGGAGGTGGTAGTGATCATCGTCATCATAATCATCTGAATATTCAAAAGAGCAAAGCACGTCCTATCGGCAGCATCCATTCGAAGAGTCCATGCTGCCGGTGCATCGCCCCGGTGCATCGTCTTTGGCGTCGGCGTCGGCGTCGCGACGCCCTCGAGTTTACTTGCTCGATTTCTTCTAGCGCGAAAGCGCGAACCGCCAATTAGCCGGGAGTTCGGCCGTCTCGCGGATCCGTGGAATCTGCGGCTGTTTGTCACCCGCTCGATGTTCCCTGCTGAACTACCAAGCGAGAGGATGCACATGCACTTGGGGGTGCACATGCAATTCGCACTCTCCCACTGTCCTTTGGCTTTGATTTCTTTTGACTCGCGCGCGCCTTCTTCAAGTCTGAATTATGGGGCTGCCTGTCTTCCTGCAGTACCAGAGAGATCTACATTGTCTCGTGGCGCTGATGCGCAAGGATCAAAATTAATAGACTCTAATAAATAAAGTAGACGCATCCCTTTGTGAACCGAGTACCGAGGGCAGATTTTCCTTATATTTTACAAAATCCGCATTTTGAAATACTCACTGCTGTCAAAGTTCAAAATGGCCACTGGACTCGCGTAATTATTACGTGTCGGTATACCAGGGTCTACGGGTACTCGAGTAGAACAGGAAAAAAAATAATTCAAAAAGAATAAATATTTTTAAAAAAAATGAAAAAAAATATATATCGGATCGAACCCCTCCGTTCATATAGGGTGACCACTTATTCTCGGAGTCGATGAGGCGTGATTCTCACAGGACAGGAGAGCAAGTGGATATTCACAGATCCTTGGCTATGATCTGTCCTCGTCCCTTTGGGCCGGTTCCCAGATGTCGATAAGGAAGATGATCGATGCCTCCGAACGATGGGCGAACGAACACTGAGAGCGATCGAGGATCGACGATCGACAAATACAAGACCTCGAGAGGATTGGTGAGTCGTCCTCGAGGTCGAAGAGGTGAGGAGGGCGGGGGGTGGGGAGGCTGAGAAGGACCGATCACGTGGGTCCAGAGGGGCCTCTGACGTCATCGAGAAAGAAAGTTTCTCAGCCACGGATGCTGGAAGCTTTTTCTCTTTTAATTTTGATCTTTAAATTTTTTTCTTCCTTTTTATAGCTTTCAGTTTTTTCACATTGACTTTTGATTTTCGTACTGGACTTTTTTATCTTACTTCTGTCTTTCTCTAGCTCACTGCTCCTGCTCAAGGTGCGTATCCAAGAAGGGAGAGCGAATCGAATCGGCTGCCGGTCATCAAAGGCGAAATTACACTACAGCCGACTGAATGATCTCATTGAATAACCATAAGACGTGCACTAAGCTCTCCCATTCATAAAGATTCACGTCGACTAATTAAGATCGCTATGCTAATTATCACATAGGAAAGACCTAAGGTAGATACGGGGTAACTTTAATGTACATTGTTCTGCAAGCTTAACGACTGTCGCCGATAATTCACATTGCGTGAAACTTTATGGATGATCCATATAAACAGCGAGATAATTAATTATAAGTTTTTCGAGAAAATTTGTATTCATTTTTGCATAGAATGAAAAAGTTTAATTTTCAATGATAAAATCGCTGTCGTGGATCCTTCGCGAGATAATTAATAGAATATTCCTGAATAGATAATCGAATAAATTGTATGTATAAGGAGTTTGATTAATTATTCGTTAAAAAATAATAAACTAAATTGAATATCCATTTTCAAGTTTCTAGTATTACGCAATATCGAGAGAAGCACCCTCGTAGCAGCGACGGAAAGGCGCGTTCGCAATCATGAATACTCCATAAATTCATAGAAATCCCATAAACGAGGCGACGTGAAACTTCAGTCAACTTTCCCGTTGCCAAGCAAAAGGCTGCTGCAACAAATCCAGTGGCGACCTAACCTAACTTAAACGAAACAAAGTTTCACCGCAATTGTCGCAAGTAGCAATTACTCCCCGTAAATACACGTGAAAACCGCAAGGTACGTTTCCACGTATGTGAACCGAGCGAACGGGATGATATACAAGGTGACAAGTAATTATGCGACTTAACCCTGTGGTTAGTTGGGAGAAAAATCTTTTTTTTTTTTTTTTGCAAAATCAAATTCCAGACGTTCCGCAGCCGCTGTAAATGAGCCAGTCGAGAATTCCCTGCAGAATTCAGAATCCCGTATAATATTGGAAGATCTCGATTCCAGTGCCGTAGCTATGAGAATGCGGCCTGTCGCTTATTTGCTGATCCGAATGCGTTAGCCAAGTGGCAGCAGGTCCCACATAGTGACGCCATGTCATAAGACTGCATTATTTATTTGTCTCTATGGCATAACGGAACGAAATAAAAACCACGTGGAATTTCACCAGATTGGTTGTGAACACGCATTCGCGGATGGAGTCCGTGCAGGTTGGGTCAACCCAACCTAACCTAGAAACGGTCCGAGCGAGCCAAGAGTCGCGCTTTACGCGACCGTAGGAAACCTAATGGTGGATCGAAGAAGTAGACCGAGCCGCGATTGGCTGATCGATACGTGCACATATGTGCATCCCGTCTTGTAAATACCCCGTGGGTCATGTATACCTATATATATTCTCCCGTGGCGTCCATGATAGAAGTCGATGATCTCTCTCTGCGAGTTACACAATAAAATAATAAGAATGAATGGCGGCCATCGAGAAATCCCGAGCGCTCGGTTCGCGGTTTAACGAGACCCCATGGGAATTCCGCGTGCGGAGAAAAATTCTACGGGTTTTACCTACAGCCGAGGATCGTTGCGTGAAAATTCGATTTTCTAAGGAAACGTCGTTATGCGTGTAACTGGGTAATTTCCTGGGACGTTGATTTATATATATATATAATATATCTATATATATATTTTTATAAATATTCTGTTTCATTTTATTACAACGACGTTACATTGAGTTTCTCGATGGTACTTAAATAAATAAATACAACGTTTTTGTATATTGTAAAATATATTTCATGAAAAAATCATCTTCTAAAATCAGACAATTATTTTCGACCTTTTTTTTCGCGTGTACATGTGTTTCCATAATTCTTCCCCCACTCCTCCCTCTCACCGTCTCTCTCCAGCTTTCGCCATACTTTGTATATCGGCTTCCTTCTCTCTCTCTCTCTCTCTCTCTCTCTCTCTCTCTGTGTGTTTACGTGGTCTTCGTGTATTTGTTCATGTATTTTCTATGTGTTTTACAAGGATAATTAATTAATAATTAATTCTACTAACAGCTAATAGCCTAATACAATACAATCCCTACAACCTACAGGTGCACTTAAGTTCAACTGGAGGAACGTCTTTTATGTACAAATAGCGTCGCAGCACGGCGGCGTCGCGACGGTCGATCGCGTCGTGCCCGACGGCCACCTTGCCCTCTCATTACTTTAGATCCCGTTAGGCAGTGGAAAAGAAAGGTTCGATAGGCTGCACGAAGTTGGAGCGAATAATAATAATAACGAAAAAAAAAAATAGAAAATAATAATATAAATAGAGTCTATTTGAGTAGGATTTTAGGAGGAAGCCACTGATTCAAATACGATTCCCATAGAATTGCGGCCTAATTAATAGTAGCCACTTTACGCACAGCGATGGGAGGAGAATCGATTAAGACACGTAATTAAGACCCGACGTATTGGAACAATAGAAGAGAATTTACAGCGTACAAGTGGAAGCAGAGAGAGCAAGGCAATTTATTCAAGGATGCAAAGTGGAAGATTGAAAAAAATATATATACATTTTTTTAAAACCTTCTTCTACCCCCTCACGACAATTTTCTTTAACTTTTACAATAAATATAAATGGAGTTTCTACGCGGTTTTTCCTCTATCTTTGCTCTTCTCGATTCCTCTTTACTTTCTCTCTCTCTCTCTCTCTCTCTCTCTCTCTCTCTCTCTCTCTCTCTCTCTCTCTCACACACATTCATCCACTCACATTCGTATAGTACAATGCGATTTGTCCCTCTATCGCGCCACACACGATATACACAGTTATCGATCTATCTATCTATCATCGATACGACGCAGATTTATTATAAATCCTTAATTAATCACCATTCTTATTACATGCACGCTAATACGTCGAAATTTACACATCATCGTCGCCTGTCCTTCCTCATCAATAATAAATACTCACAGAACGTACTCGGTCACGAATATCTTCTTTTTTCTTGTTTTTTTCTTACTTTTCATTCTTTACGAGGATTCCGGCAAGATACTACAGGGTGACACCGAACAACACGTCGTACCGGAATGTCCATTTAGAAATGAGAAATATACAGTAGTCCTCTGGATTTGGAGGAAAAGTTTTTTTTTTTTTTTTTTTTTTCGAAATATTCAAGGAAGTCATTCGAGTGGGGTTGCGAGTGATTTAAGGGATGATCCACACAAGTGTCATGCGGATGCATGGAAAGCGAGCGTGACCCTTCAAATTTGAAATTAAACCCACCGCGACTCGTGACTTCGCGCAACAAAGAAATATGTACAATTCTCTGGGGAATATCTAGGGACTTATTTCTTCGTCTAGTAAGATCGTAGGTAATTCGGAACGGAGTTTGCAGTTAGTGGTGAAGATCGTCCGGGACGCGCCCTTGCGATTCCCTGGGACGCTGGAGGCCGGAAGGCCGCCACGTGGCCCGCCAGATCTCCTCCTCTTGATCAGTGACGTCAGTGGATCCGACTTCGCCCAGATGGATCCCGTCTCATCACGCGCAATCCAGAGAAGCCAGGGAGGCCGGACTATGGGGCCCGCCCAACATAAACGGGGGACTCATGGGGGGCCCACCACTTCCGGCACTGTTGCCATAGAGCTCAAGATCCCCCAAGGAGCCACCGTCGACTCCGCCACCGCACTTGTCCGACTTGCCTTCCTGCTTGAGCACCATGCGCCGCCATTTTGCACGGGCATTTTGGAACCAGACCTGTAACAGACATTACGGGTCCTTTGAGATGCTGTACGGAGCCACTCGACCCATCCGCGTGCCTTCCTCGGCCAAATTTCAATATTTAAACCCATTTTTGGAATTTGGTAAATATCGTAAATTATTTCGTAAATCGCTGTCAGCCATATTCGTGGAGTCGAGCAGGGGGAGCATCGCGGTTCAAGGGTCGCCATCTTCAAGGGAGTCTCCACCCTTTAGGGACCCAGTCGACCCGCAGAGGCACGACAGGACCTGAAGACCAAGGCGAACGGCTACCGGGAGTGAGTGTTCGCGCGTCCCGCGATCAATATCATCCAAGATGGCGCTTCCAGGAGCACCGCATTATTCCCAGTACAATAGAACTTGCCCCCCTCTCGCTCTTTTTCTCTTTCTCGCCCTCCTTTCCCACACGCGCACCAGCTTTCTAACCCGGGCAGCCCTAGAATATCGCCTCATGCGACAGTCGGTGGTTATGGAACTCGAAAAACAAATTGAAAAAAAAAATCAATTCCATTGAAAACTCTCGAACTCGTCTGTTTCGCGTTTTCCGGTAAAAAGAAAAGATCCTAGCCAATTTCCGGAGAGAAGGTAACTAAAAAAAAAAAATAGCTCAAGGCAAACGAGCCCTTAAGAAAAATCAAAGAAAACCAAAGTCCTTTCCAGTGAAATCCTTAAGCGCGCGTGTAACTACGCGGGTCGGACCTGAACGTAGGTGGCAGCACAGTAGCTGCGACACTTTAGCGAGCGGCAAACGGCAAAGAGTCGCCGTTGCTCCGTGTAATCGTCGTTTCTAACGCGAAGGCAGTTTCTCATTTTTCTTTTCTCCTCGTTTCCTCCTTCTCCCTCCCTGCCCCCCCCCC